AGTTCCCAGAAAAACAACAACAACAAAATCAGTTGAAAATTTTCTGGATGTTCTACTTTCATTTGGTTGCTGTGGGAAAAAAACAAAAACAAAAACCTTGGGAAGGAAAGGGTTATCTGGCTCACACTTCAGTCTGCAGGAACTGAAGCAGATACCATAAAGGGATGCTACTGACTTGATTACTAGCTCATGCTCAGCTAGCATTCTTATAGAAGGCAGGCCCACATGACAGGCATTGGAATCACCCACAGTGGACTGGGCCCTCCTACATCAATTGGCAAATGTTCTAAAGACATGCCCACAGACCAATGTGATCTAGACAATTCCTCAACTAAGACTCTCTCTTCCCAGGTGACTCTCAGTTGTATCAAGTTGAAAATAATCCCAGGGCATGGGGATCACACTGAATGTCTATATTGACTTAAGAAGAAATGACATGATAACGTTGACTCTTCCATTTGTACACTGAAATCTTCTTTAATGTTGCTACGGTTTATAAATATTTGTTCTTCTATAGTTCTTGGGCATCTCTGGTAAGATTTCTGCCTAAGTACCTGATGTTTGTATCCTGTTATCAGGGAGACACTTTAAAACGTTTAAACAATGTTAGGAACAGTGCTCTGGCTCCCTGCTGCAGTGCTTCCCCAGCATTATGGGTCTGGAACTATAAGCCCAAATAGACTCTTCCTTCTGTGGGTCCCCTTGGTTTTGATACTGTATCACAGCAACAAAATGTAACTGATAAAGGATGTTTAAAAAACCCAAAAAATTCCAAGAGTTTGATACCAAAGCATAGGAAATTCAGCTTTCTACGCTGATTTTTGTATATAGAAATATTGGTAAAATCACTTGGGAGCTGTAATTATAAAATGTGAACTCTTTAATCATCTGCAATAATTGCACCATACACAAATGCTTGGTTTCCCTTTTGAAACCTCTGTCTTTATTTTGTCTAATCACACTGAACAGCGTTGAGCAGCAATCTTCTTAACTGACACTAGACTTTTTTTTTCTTAGCCACCATGAAGAATCTTAACAGGTCACCATTAATTACACCCTGCTGTTTCCTGTCTTTTCTTGCTCCTCTAAATAACCTGTATCTCTTTTGAAGTGTCGTCTCTCCCAGGAGTATTTCCATCCTTCCAGCCTGAGTTCCTATTCTCCACCCATGCATCTTGCTAGGACGTTTCTTACTCACACTAGATTCTAGAGCAGTAGTTCTCAACCTTCCTAATACCGTGTCACTTTAATGCAGTTCCTCATATTGTGGTGACTCCCAGTATAAAATTATTTCCTTGCTACTTCATAACTATAATTCTGCTACTATTATGAATCTTAATGTAAATATCTGATATGAAGAACATCTGCTATGCCACCCTAAACAGCCATGACCCATGGTTTGAGAACCACTGTTCTAGTTGCTACTGATGGCGTCTGTAGCCAGAGCTTTTGTAGCTCACACAAAGCCTAGTGCACAGAAGGAAAACAGAGAAGAGCTGTTGGATGAGTGACTAAAGTGGCATGTTGGGGCTGTCTTTTTCCTGGATGTGATTTTGGTTCACTTGCTCCATCCTCACAGCCAACATTTTCATTAAAAGAAGAGAAATTTGAGGAACAGCCTGAAGGGAATTTATTATAAAGTGTTATACACTAGGAAGAAACTAGCTGTGGATACTGTGTGGTTTCCCCTTCTCCCAGGGGGAAGGTCTATAAATCCTCACTCTAGTGAACATCAGGGAGGCCATAAGGCTTGCATCTGCCAACACAATATGCATGGAAAATGCACAAATCACATCCAAACTGAATCTTTGAAAAGAAAATCATGTGTTGTAAGATGTTTTTTGTTTCTGGTTTGGGGTTGTTTTGTTGTTGTTCCTATCAACAGTCATATCTAATGGTCAAGGGTCATTTTGCAACCATTGGCTTCTCCTTCAGTCTGAGTTCCACAACAATCCCAGCATGGAGCAGAATCAGCAGTGACTCAAGCCAAAGAAAGCTAGCTTTGGTGATACAAGCCATTGTGCCTTGAAGGTTTGAAGGTTTACTTTCTACCTCAAGTACATGACCCAAACTTAAAGGTCAGCTTCTCAGTCTCTCTGTTGTGCACTATCATAGTTAACTCAACTCATACTATCATTTGCATTTGCATATATGTATATGAAGGATGAGTCTACATGTATGCACCTCTCTACATATGTAGGGGTCGGAGGAGTATCTCAGGTGTCCTGATCTATTATTACTCTATACCTTATCCTTTGAGACAGGTCTCTCACTGACTCCTGGAAAGCTCCAACAATCTTCCTGTCTCTGCATCTATTGTTTTACTGGTGCTAGGGTTACAGGCACATGCATGACCACACTTGATTTTTTACATAGGTTCTTATCTAATGTGCCATCTTCCCTGCCTCATTTAAAAATTAACACTTGCTCTTAAATGATACAGAATGTCCCACTATTGAAAGAAATTAAGATTCTTTAGCTTTCTAAGATTAATTTCCAAGTGTGTAGGTAAGGCAGAAGCTGCCAGTACTCATATGCTTTTGTTGTCCTTATAGATCCTCAATATTTGTAAGGACAGTTTTCCTAGAGCCTCAGTATTAACAGGGACAATGTCCTAGAGCCTTGATGTTAACAGACAGCTCCTAGAGCCTCAGTGTAACCAGAGATAAATTCTGGAGCCTCAATGTTAACAGACGGATCCTAGAGCCTCAATATTTACAGGGACAGATTCTAGAGCCTCAGTATTAACAGACAGCTCCTAGAGCCTACGTATTAACAGGGACCATGTCCTCAGGCCTCAGTGTTAACAGGGACAGTTTCCTAGAGCCTCAATATCAACAGGAACAATACCTTAGAGCCTCAATAATAACAGGGACAGTATTGTTATGCTAACAGAGACAGTATCTTAGAGCTTCCGTGTTAATAGGGACAGCATCTTAGAGCCTTGGTGTTTACAGGAGCACTATTACTAGCTAATGTTTTAACTTTCACAGTTTCCCTTGCACAAAACTCTATTCTGTCTAATAAGAAAGAAAACCAACAGAAATACTTCCAAGTAGGGATTCTGGGAAATTGTTTTTCTGACAAGGGGGACAGGCTTCTGTTTCATGTCATTTGCCTTGTGCTCTCCCTAATTATTATTGGGCATAGCAGTCACCTTGTATTCATGTATTCAGTCAGCTGTTACAGATGGAGGGTAGGAAGCTAGAAGACATCTTGAAATAATTTCTTAAAAGAAACACCAGATGTAGACTAACTTCTTCTGGACATTTGTTATTAGAAACATAAAACCCTGTGTCAAACCCACTCTTTAAAGAGTTTTCTACCATATGGTAGCAAAAATATTTAGCTGATAAAGGAAACGTTCACTAGTCAAGATTTCCCAACATGCGTAGACATGGCATTTTCGAACTGACAGTTCTTAACAGAGAAGAATGGGTGCCTTGTAGGTTGATAGGCAGCATCCTTCCTTAGTTTCTACCTACTGTGGCATAATAGCAACTACTCCAGCTGTATATTTGCTTTCTATCACTACATTAAAGCTATGAGAGAATCAATGCATTAAGAACAAGGTTTCTGAGGCTGGACATGGTGGCACACACTTTTAATCCCAGTACTTGGGAGGCAGAGGTAGGTGGATGTCTGAATAACAGGACAGTCAGTGCTTTTACACAGAGAAACCCAGTCTTGAAAACAAACAGACAAAAAGAACAAGGTTTCTTTCAGCTAACATCTTTCCAGTTTGTAGTTTTATTTTCCCATGACCTTGGCCTATAGTAAGGCAACACAACATGGTAGAATTATTGGAAGCAGAAAAATCTCTCACCTCACAACCAAAAGCAAAAGGAGTCCAGTGGCCCACCGCACACTCCAAGAACACAACCTCAAAGGTTTAAAGTCTTCTCAGTAGTCCCTATCCCTCAGATTCTGCCACTTGTCAACAGCAGCATTCTGGGGATGACATCTGGGCCTTTTAGAAATTGTCAAGATCTTGTCTCTAGGATATTGGTCAATGTCCCCTGAGCAGTTGGTACACAGAACTAACTTCAAGTGTCATCATATGATAACAGTGCCCCCTTTACTTCTTAAGGCCTGTTCTTCATTTTGAGCCTAAAGGGATAATGTGGGTACAGGAGAAAGGACCTGGGCCCAAGTTTAAAGCCTGAGTGACTCAGCACTTTGATACACAAGACATTTAAAGAAAACTAAATGATTAATATATAACATCCTGCCTCACATAAGAATGCTTCATTAACATCTTCAAGATACTTCACAGAAACTGCAGCATTTATGACACTTCTGTGTCCAGTGAATGTGCTGTTTTTGAACAGGAAAGAAAACTTTTCCAGATGTCCTCAAATGATGCCACTGATGACATCCTTCTAAGACCAGTGATGCTCTGGGCAGGGGCCTGTTCTCCTTTCTGTGTTGTGATATATCATCTTGACCAAGAAAACAATGTAGAAAGAGGAAAGGAAATGGTATCCTTGGTGTACTATTCTAACTGAAGTTCACTGGTGCAGGGAGGTTAGGACAGCTAGTCACATCATAGCCACAGTCAAGAGAATAAACACATATTTTCTTGCTGTTTCGTGGCCAGCTACCTTTTTCTCTACTCTCACACAGTTCAGGGCCCAGCCCATGAAAAGATACTGACATTCAGGGTGGGCCTTCCCATGTCAGTTAATAATCAAGACAACCCACTACAGACATGCCCACAGGCCACCCTGATCTAGATAATTTCTCACTAAGTGTCTCTTCCCAAGTGACACAAGGTTGTATCAAGGTGACAGTTAAAAGTAACGAGCAGCGGACCATTCTGTGGAAGTGTAAGCAGGAAAGTTCATGTTTTCCAGCTCTCTCCCTCCACTCTCACCTCAACAGAGAGAGGAAGGGTAGAAAATGTTTATTTATCCTATAGCTAAATATCCTTAGCATCCATTTATAGTACCCAAAAGAGAACTCTGAGAAGTGGGGTTAGCACATTTTTATGAATTTGGGTATTTTATGAAATATAGTTAGCACTCTCCTTGACAAAGATGGAAGAGGTCTGGGGCCTAACAATACACATACAGTTAAGGCATTCCCATCTACTTTGTATCATCTCAACAACATGTTTTAGCTGGCTTCTGTATCCCTCATTCAAGGCTCCCTTTCAGCCTCCTGCAATTCTCCAATTCCCTACTTCCACCTGCAGATTCCTCTCCCAGATCCTAATTTATTCATCTAATCCTGGTACACCACAATGTGCTCCAAGCAACGTAACTCCTGAGAAGGACAGATCAATCTCAGACCAGGCAACACCTCTCCTCCTAGCATGCCTCAACTTAAGAAGGTGCCATGGAGGAAAGGCCGTCCAATTAATCATTATCATCCTGGACCAACTCTCTGGTTCTTATCACTCAGCTCCCAGAAAAGGTGGCTCACCCACCTAGCCTCTGCTGTGACTACACTTTACAGAGGACCAGATATACTGGAAAAGACCCAGTGCCAGTTCTTGGTTCAAGAATCTGTAGCATCCTGGAGCCAGAACCAAGCAAGACTTTGACACAGTAATCCAGTGCCCCTTAGTTTATTGACCCATTGCACACAGAGGCCCAGTGGTACCATTATACAGGAGAGGTGGCCATGTAACTTCTATGACCATTCACACTGAGAAATCCAAGGGCCTGCAGGCCCTGACAACGCTAGGGTCAAGGCAGACGGCTCCAGAAGAGCCCATGGACTCCTTCTCAGACCAGTTATATCTACACTTTTTATGAATTTTGTTTGTAACTGGGTCTTCCTAATATAGGCCAGGCTTTCCCATAATCCTCCTGCCTCAGCCTCCAAAGTACTAGGATCACAGACCTACAATAGCACACTCAACTTGCTCATAAATGTCTAACCCAAAATATGTTCTTCGCTTCCTGAGGTCTCTGTTCTTCTGGATAGACACAGCAATAATAATATAAATTGGGGCAATCAGGTAGTGGAATACATGAAAGCAGAAGTGAGAGAAAGAAGGAAATCAGCCAAATGGATACATATCATGTATGTAAAGGCCACAGTGGAACCCATTAATTTGTGTGCTACTTTAAAATATTAATTAAAAAATAAAATAAGTTACATGATTTGAAAGTTGATTCAATTCATTGCATTTGAGCTCTAAGACAAGTGAGAGACACTGTCTCAAAAATCAAAATGGATAACTCCTGAAGAATAACTACAAGTACACGCCAAAAAATTAAAAACAAATCCAAGTACTAGATAACAATTACAACAAAGGAAAAAGATAGAATATACCCATTACTTGCCTGGATTACGAATCACCTATATTTGAGTTTTCTCCAATAAGATGCCAATTTTGAAGTTTAGAATGACTTCCTTAAAATAGTTGTATTCTTTTGGTCTTTATTCCATTTATGTAGTGTATAACATTTGATTTACATACATTGAACCATCCCTGCATCTCTAGGATGAAGCTGACTTGATTGTAGTAGATGATCTTTATGATATGCTCAAGTTCAGTTTGCAAATATTGTATTTAGAATTTTGTGTAATTCCTCAGAAACTGGATAGCTACATGTAGAAGGAAAATAGACCCAAATCTCTCACTGTACAAAGACCTCAACATAAGACCTGGAACACCGAATCTAGTAGAAGAGAAACAGGATATGCTTAAACCTGCACAAATAGTAAAGGACTTTCTGAACAGGGCTTCAGTAGCACAGGCATTAAGATGAACAGTTAACAAACAGGGCCTCATGAAACTAAAAAGCAAAGGACACCATCATATGAGCGAAGAGAAAGCTTACAAAATTGAGAAAAATAATTACTAGCTACATATCTGGCATAAGGTTAATATCTAGAATATACTAAGAACAAAACAACAACAACAACAACAACAACAAAACCCCAAAACACTAAACATCAAGAAAACAGGCAGAGTTCTCAAAGGATGAAATACAAGTGTTTGAGAAATATTTTTTAAAGTATCCAGCATTCTTAGCCAGCAGGGAAATACAAATTAAAACTACATCGAGATGGTATCTGACCACAGTCAAGTTGGCTAATATAAGAAACACAAAAAAAGACAAATGTTGGCAAAGATGTAAGGAAAGAACAATTATTTGCTGTTTATAGGAATGTAAACTGGTTCGGCCACTATGGAAATCAATGTGGAGGTTCCTTAAAAGGCCAGAAATAAATCTACTATGTGATCCAGCTATACTACTCCTAGTATATTCCCAAGAGACTCTACATCCTACTACAGAGACACTTGTTCACCTATGTTCATGGCTGTTCCCAGAAAATGGAAAAATCCTAGATGTTTACTAACTGATGAGTTGAGGAAATTAAGTACACAATATAATATTATTAAGCTGTAAAAATAGTAAAATCAAAGGCAAATGGATGGAACTGGAAATAATCATTCTGAGTAAGAAAACCCAGACCCAAAATGACAAATGTTGTATGTTCTATGTATGAATTCTGGTTTTGAGTCTTTAAGTAAGTGTTTTTAAATTGGAATGTCCATGGAAGGCAAGGAGATTTCAATGGAAGGAAACTGGAACACAGATGGTATGTAGGGGAGAAAGGGAAAAGTGGATATGAAAAGGTCAAAATGGTTAAGAAATGCGAGGGCTGGATAGAGGAGGCCTGGGTAGAGGAGGGAATATAGGGAGTGATAACTAACACAAAAGGAGCTTTGGAGAAGCCATATGGAAACCTACTACTAGAAGATTCCTGAAATATACACATATGCAGAGTTATGTGCAGTTTAAAAGGAATTACCCTGTGATAGACACCCGGACACCACAGGCTATCAAATAAAAAGCCAGTGCCAGGCAATGGTTACCTCTTTTCAAGTTGCTAGTCAGTGCAGGGGGGGTCCCACCTCAAGCATTACCCTCCAGAAATTGATGGTAGGGTCCTATTGCTGAAGATACCACTTACTTGAGTCATAGAACATGGAGTAATCAAGCTTCTATTAACCTGGAAGCTTCATCTCTACTCAATAGCTTTTATAGTGTTGAAGGGTTCTATGCATGCTAACAGAGATAAAAATTTGCAACAGCCTTACCCAGTTGTGAACCCAGTGAACTACAATAACAACAGGCTTGGCAAGACATGTCCACTGGTGCAACAGTGGCAAAAAGATGGTATTGCAGTAACTACTTTTTGATTGGATTTAAAGCCCGCTGCACAAGAAAGATCTCATACCTGTTATTTTTAACCGAACCAACATGCCTGGCTAGGTCATGGGCCCTGAAAGAGAAGTAAATACTATTATTTTGCTAAATTGACAGAGGAATAAATTGCCACCTAAACTCTTCCCTTATTGCTGTAGATTACTTCATCAGCCAATCTTCATCCGAGAAGCTCCTTTTTTTGCAGGACATGGTGATGAACATAGTATCTTAGTTAGGGTTTCTATTGCTGCAATGAATCACAATGACCAAAAGCAACTTGGAAAGGTAAGTGTTTATTTGGCTTACACTTCCACATCATAGTCAATCATTGAAGGGAATCAGAACAGGAACTAAACATAGCAGGAACCTGGAGGCAGAAGCTGATGCAGAGGCCATAGAGGGTGCTGCTTACTGATTTGCTTCCCCTGGCTTGCTCAGCCTGCTTTCTTATAGAAGCCAGGACTACCAACCCAGGGAGGGCACCACCCACAATGGGCTTGGCCCTCCCACATCTGTCACTAATTAAGAAAATGGTCTACAGACTTGCTCTATAGCCCAATCCTATGGAATCATTTTCTCAATTGGGGTCTCCTCCTCTCAGAAGATTCTAGCCTATATCAAGTTGAGATAAAATTAGACAGCATACATAGATACCCACAACTGGTCAACCTGCAGAAAATAAGATATGTGGAATGTTCAGTTTGAAATAAGACATATACATCACATCCTCTCCTAACAAGTTTTGAGTATTATAGCAGAAGAAATGGAAAAATGGTAAGAGTTAAAGGCAGAGAACATCTGCAGTAAAGCAGTATTTACTGAACAACACAGGGGTAGTTCGGTGCACACATGAACTCACAGCAGCTGTTAACTATGCACAAAATCCGCATAAGATGAAGCCAGGCAGAATTCCAGTATGGAGAAGGGAAGGGCTCATGAAGTCCCACACTCAGCTGAGGAGTTATTGGCAATTGATGACTGCTGGGGTGGGGCGGGTAGCCAGTTTTCTTCATGTATGTGGCCCTGAGAAGGTACCCATGCGCCAGTAGACATGCCTACACCTATGCACATAAGGAGGCACTTGAAACATAGGGGAAGAATTGGAGGTGGTGAAGGGAAGAGATTTGATCAAAATATATTATATGCATGTATAAATTCTTAAAATTTGTAGCAGTCTTAAGGTAAGAAGAAATTTCAACTTCTGGTCCCATGTCACTGTGTCAAAAGGATTGGAGACAGTGAACAGTGGCACTTCTAACCTGATATCACTAATCGATTTTCAACCATTTCTGCTATTCAAATTTACCTTGATTTTTGAAGAAGTTACAAGTTATTTGTACTGATTGCCTGTTTCTAAAGTCAAACATCAGTCACATTTTTCTTAGTTTTGTTGTTAGTTATTACCCCATTGATATAAGTTTTGAGTGGCTATTTTGAAAATTTCCAAAGAGCATGGAGATCTAAAATGAGATATGATCAAGCCCACTCCTTGGAGACATCTATTCTTAATAATTTCAGTATACTTTTCGGACATTTCACTTCAAATGAATTTTTATGAATGTAATATAAACTAGTACATATTTTTTAAAGCTACGTTATATTAAACATAAGAATAAAATAATGGTTCGTGTCTTTCCCATCCACCTTCTTCATTGCTTGTCTCTAAAGCAGTAAACTGTTTAGAACCTGTCAAAGCATTCATTGAATTTTATTTATTTTGTGTGCATGTATGTGGGGTTGGGTATGCACATGCCTCTTTGGGTCATCAGCCTTGGTGTCAAGCTCATTTACCCTCTGGACCATCTTAGCAGCCCCACTTTACACTATTCCAGTGGCTTCTTTGAACACACACATGTAATTTTGTTTTTCTAAATAACAATATATATATGTGACATTGTGTTTTATCAATTGTAGATATTGTCTTCTTCTTACTATAGGTCATTATGG